CTGAAAATGTATTTCTAATACTTTTTCACAAAAGCAATTATGTAAGCCGTTTTCAAGTAAGAGTCAAAATGAAAAAACTAGAAATTACTTGACACAAAACATTTACAAATTCTAAATATAAAAACGTGTTAATGATTATCTATAAAATATTATAGATTAACTATGACATTCTTACGTCAATTGCAAGATGCTCCTATCATCACAGGAAGGTAAGAAAAACTAGGTGCAGGAAGTGCAGCATCGCTAAGAGACTTCTGAAGAATTAGAATAACTCCAATGTGCTTTCATCCCATTGGTCGATCTGTACCAAAAAAAAAAACAAATTTAACTAAGCTATTAAACAATAGACAAAATAAAATAAAAAAACACTTGAAAACAAATAAACTACAGAAAAAATTGAAGTAAAAGTAAGTTTTGAACAATAGGCACTGAAACATCCACAGTAAAAAGAGATAACTATTCCAACTGCACAATCCCAAGTTTTGATAATGTTCCTGTAAAGTAATTGTTACATTAAACAACCAGTCTTAGGACTGACTGCCTTATGATGATGAAACAATTTTTATGTGTTAATTTATATCAAACAGTAATGTGGTGTATCACAGACGTTTTTATTGCAAAAGTACCAAAGGAAAAACTTATAAGACATCAGTAACCAGAATTGACTGCTAAATCTTAATCTGATAACTTACTTATGATATACATTTTTACCTCAACAATAAACAAAATGTTTCCACACGAACAGCACACCATTGCAACCCATCTGATTTTCGATAATTAGTAGTATCCAAATAAACTTCAATAAGTTTTTATTTATCGGTCATTTTGTACAGGGTACAAGAAAAACGAATTTGCAACACTTTCACATAAATAACGCATGAAATAAAATAAAAATGCACCTTAAAAGAAATAACACCACAAATACTTAAAATGAGGACCTGACATTACCTTGATTGTTTGGGTTTATAGGTTACTTGTTACCATAGATTAACCTGTTACCATAGATACATAATTATAAATTTGAAGAGATTGATAGAAGGAATTTTTACTAACGCAAACACAATCGCTCTTGTGAACATATTTCATTTATGTTTACAAGAATTTTAAGCATATATCACCTGAATTAATATACTTAAAATTGTCTCTGAAATACTTGAATATTATTAAAATCGTGTAAGATTAACTTGAAATAACTCCCTAATCGAGAAAAAACCTTAAAATTCTACCCCATTCATTGCAATTGTAAAGATAATGATTATATTAAAAAAAAAACTCACCGGAATATAATTTTTATTCACTCTTCATTAAACAACTATTGCATTCATATTATCCATCCCTGGGTAACATTTTCTTATTTAATAACAGCAAGTATTGTCTTTATTAACAATATTTTTTTTATAACGAATAAACTGCTTATAACACCTTAAGTAGATCAGATGTTTTTCACTGCTTTCACTGTATATTTTACTGTCTGAATCCGCAAAAATTTACAATTTTCCGAAAACGACTAACGTGAACACATTAACGACCGATAACATTAAACTAACGGAAGTGCTAATTAATGTTTTAATAAAGTATAAGTATAGATTAAAACATATATTCACCTTACATTACGTTTGTTGGTGGACATCATCGATGGTCGTCTACGTAATACGCAGTCGTTGGACTTTGTTGAAAATCTTCTCCAGGAGTTGGTGGACTGCGCCAAAGATCCCCACCAGACTTGAAGGACCGTTAAGTAAAACTGAAGACCTGTAAGAATTCCTTATGTTAGTAAATGATATAAACGATTGTATAAAAATAACTAAGAAACAGACATTAAGTTCTGAATAAAAAGTTAATGGAAATAATAAAGAAAAAAAGAATAGCTTTAAATAAGTAAAAAAATAGTGTTAAAGCATAAAAAAGATAAAAGTCCAAACGTAAATTAAAAGAAATGAAATGTTTCAAGAAGGTAAATGCTAATTAACGTTTTAATAAAGTACATAAGAATGAGAAAATTAAAGTAAGTAATAATAAGCGTTAAAGTAAAGCATAAAAAGGATAAAAGTCCAAACATAAATTAAAAGAAATGAAATGTTTCAAGAAGGTAAATGCTAATTAATGTTTTAATAAAGTATAAGTATAGATTAAAACATATATTCACCTTACATTACGTTTGTTGGTGGACATCATCGATGGTCGTCTACGTAATACGCAGTCGTTGGACTTTGTTGAAAATCTTCTCCAGGAGTTGGTGGACTGCGCCAAAGATCCCCACCAGACTTGAAGGACCGTTAAGTAAAACTGAAGACCTGTAAGAATTCCTTATGTTAGTAAATGATATAAACGATTGTATAAAAATAACTAAGAAACAGACATTAAGTTCTGAATAAAAAGTTAATGGAAATAATAAGAAAGTAAGAGGTAAGTACCAAATAAAAGATTGAAAGCATAAATAAAGACATGAAGTTTTTAAAAATAAATATGTCCTACCTTTTGTTTGTTGTGGCCCCCTCCGTCAGGCTCCCATGATGGTTTGACATGCTGGAGTAGTCCTGAAGGATACTTGAAAGTCCCTACAATCAAGAAAAGGTCCTAAAGTTAATAAATGATTTAATAGATTAAATAAAAATAAGTAAAAATAAAAACTACGTTTTGAATAAGAAATTAAAGTAAAAAAAAAGATAAGGCTCACAATAAGTAAGGAAAACAGAAAAGAAATACATAAAAACATAATAAAGAAGAAAAATATGTTTCAAAAAGTCAAAACCAAAACAAGAGACATGTTTCTAATTAACACCATACTAAAGTACATAAAAAGATTAAAGTATAAGTACATCTTACATTTCCTTTATTCGCAGACTTCATCGACGGCCGTCTTCGTAATCTGCAGTTGGTGGACCGTGTTCTCCATTATATTGAGATGGTCGACTCTGTCGAATACCTCCACTAAACGAGAGAGGTACTGAAATAAAACTGAAGACCTGTAAGAAATCATGATGTAAGTAAATGAAATAAATGATTGGATAAAAATAACTAAGAAACAGACATTAAGTTCTGAATGAAAAGTTAATAGAAATAATAAGAAAGAAAAGAATAGCTTTAAATAAGTAAAATATAAGTGTTAAAGTAAAGCNAGTACACAACGTAAAAATGCCCGGATTAGATAAGTATCCTAAACAAACTAAAAATCATTCATTTACATCAACACCGTAATGAAATCATAATTACATTCGTAAACTGCTTACCTATTTGTCAAATAAATTTAAATAGATTGTTTTATTACAATTGAAAAACCTAGTTATTTTAAATTCCCGCAACGCACTGTAGCAATTTCATCTTTACCAAGATAGCTTTAAATATTTCTCCTTTATACCGACAACCCGCTGTACTGTAAAGTATTCTCGTCAGTGAGTTGCAGTTGTAATTCCTTTATTAAAGACTTCGTTTTCAGAATAAAATATTAAAATATTCACTAGTAAGGTTTAGTCACATAATTTTAGATTTTGTCCACACACAATTCCTTTATTACATTTTGGTAACAATACTAAATTTTGAACATTCAGCTCTAATAAAAAAGAAATGAATTTATCAAAAAATTAAAACGTTTTTAAATTAGGGGTTGAAAGTACGTCACGCTAATTTCTAAAAGTAAAATTCTTTTCACAGATGCCTCACAACATTAATACATTTTGGTACATTCAGCTCTTGTAATAGGGAAGAAAGTAATTATTAAAAAATTAAAAAGAAAGATAGGGGATTAAAAATTTAACGTGGTAATTTCTGACAATAATTTCAATTTAATTTCACTAATGTCTTACAACAACTTTCAATACATTTTGGTACATTCAACCTGTTTAATAAGAATCTATTTTATCAAAAAACGGCGTTCTTTAATGGTTAAAAGTGCACTCCAGTAATTTTTACCTGTAAAATTCTCTACACCCACATGCGCTTTAATATTTGGCACATTCAGCTTTAATAAACGACAAATTAAATTATCAAGAAATAAAAACGACTTTCTTAAATTGGGGTCTGAAAGTGCACTTCAGTAATTTCTAACAAAAAAAATTTCTGTTGCTCATCAACATAGAAAATATTATTAACCGAAAAATAATAAAATAATGGAAATAATGCATCTAATCTTTAATGTATCCTTAATGTTGTCAGTTACCCTGATTGTCTCGTTTCAGTGGAATAAAGGTAGTGCTAACTGCTACAGTCTGAAGTGAAATAAAAGCCGCCACAATCAGTGCATGGTGCCTATGTAAAGTTTGTGACCAGTTCGTTCCTGTAAAAATATTGGTTACATTAATTCAAATTAAACAATATTGCAATAGCAAAAAAATACAAAAACATATCTTTAAAAATAATACAGAACCTACACAAGCCTTTATTACAACTGAACAGAAATGTAAAGTATATATAAATTAACTTTAAATTGATTTATTACAATTCAAAATACCTTTGAATTTGAATAGTTTAACACTCCTTAGAAAATGTATATTTTGTCAAAAACCATTATTATTGAGAAGCTACAAAAAAGGCGAGGGGCGATAGATTATGAAATATACAATAACGACTTTTTTATTTCTCAAATAGAGTAAACACTTTGACAACCAGGGTATTATATTGTTACATTAGAGACTGAGAGACTCTTAGATTTCTAAACACTTCCCAGAATTTTGGGTTTTGGTGTTTATTTAGTTATATTCCATAGTATATATGTACTCCGATTGATTTTCTTGTACAAAATAGAATTTTTATGAATTAAATTTGCTTCATAGCAGTTCGTTTCTTAAAATCCGATATAAAATTAGTTTGTATTTATAAAAAAAGAATATTATAATATATAAAAATCATTTCAACGTTCGAAAAAAATTTTCCTATTTTTATAATGTTTAAAGTGTTAGTCTATATTTTTAATTTTTGACGAAACCCCTTTTAATTCGATATTAAAAACACCCTATAATCCATCTAGAATAGTACAGTTTCCTACAAATAAAAAAACAATTAACATAGCTCAACTATTCTCGGCATTCATTACTGAAGATTTCTAAATAAGCATATTTATAAGTACAGATAAGAAAGCCGTACGTTTGATTGCCCAGAAATGACAAGAATTATTTTTTTAATAATTTTAGAATTGCTTTATTAAAACCATCACATCGTTACTGTACCGTACATATAGGAAAAGTCAGCGTGAACATTCGGAGAGAAAAAGATGGATACAACGCTCCATTAAAACCTACAACATTCTCAATTTTCGACGAAACTCCTTTTAATTTGATATTAAAAACACCCTACATCCATCCAGAATAACATAATCTCCTACAAATATAAAAAAAGTTTAAAATTACTCAATTATTCTCGGCATTCGTTTCTCACGATAACTAAATAAGCAATGCAAATTTTTTATTAAACACGACAGATAAGAAAACTACAACTTTGATAAATAAATTATAAAAAGTAAACCGATTCTTACAATAACTAAACTGAATGTTATTGAAAACCCCTAGNTGAGAAAACTAATTAGGTTTTAAGACAAAGTGAAGATAAGAATTTTCCCACTACAACCAATAAAGTAAAAATGGTACGTAGTAATTTAAGATTTTAAGCTATTTCCTAACAGAATAAAATTGCAGTCAGGAAGCAGGCCTATGTGTGATATTACTCCACAGGTTAAAGAAACCATCAAGAACTTTCGCTTTAGGAAAGGGGATGATACCTCAGCAATTATATGTAAGGCTTTTTACTCCCATGTAACTTACAAATGCTATGGTTTATAATACATAATCCGTCTTTTTCAAGTGAAAATTGACCGTAAAAAACAAGAAATATTAGTAGATGAAATATTTGAAGGTACTAGTATAGAAGAATTGAGAGAAACTCTTCAAGAGCATCAACCCCGTTATATAATTCTTTCATATAAACAAGTGCATGATGATGGTCGTATTTCATATCCTTTGGTATTTATTTACTATACACCTCGAGACAGTCACAGGGAATTACAAATGATGTATGCAGGATCAAAAACTGCTTTACAAACTGAAGCAGATATTTCAAGATCATATGAAATTAGAGAATTGGATGAACTAACACAAGATTGGCTTCATGAAAAACTAAATAGAAAATAAAAAGACAATTAAGCATTACCACTCTTAGCAATACATTTAACAGCAACTACAAAAATATTTGAACGTTCATTTGAAAAAATAAAAACGTGTTAATGATTATCTATAAAATATTATAGATTAACTATGACATTCTTACGTCAATTGCAAGATGCTCCTATCATCACAGGAAGGTAAGAAAAACTAGGTGCAGGAAGTGCAGCATCGCTAAGAGACTTCTGAAGAATTAGAATAACTCCAATGTGCTTTCATCCCATTGGTCGATCTGTACCAAAAAAAAAAACAAATTTAACTAAGCTATTAAACAATAGACAAAATAAAATAAAAAAACACTTGAAAACAAATAAACTACAGAAAAAATTGAAGTAAAAGTAAGTTTTGAACAATAGGCACTGAAACATCCACAGTAAAAAGAGATAACTATTCCAACTGCACAATCCCAAGTTTTGATAATGTTCCTGTAAAGTAATTGTTACATTAAACAACCAGTCTTAGGACTGACTGCCTTATGATGATGAAACAATTTTTATGTGTTAATTTATATCAAACAGTAATGTGGTGTATCACAGACGTTTTTATTGCAAAAGTACCAAAGGAAAAACTTATAAGACATCAGTAACCAGAATTGACTGCTAAATCTTAATCTGATAACTTACTTATGATATACATTTTTACCTCAACAATAAACAAAATGTTTCCACACGAACAGCACACCATTGCAACCCATCTGATTTTCGATAATTAGTAGTATCCAAATAAACTTCAATAAGTTTTTATTTATCGGTCATTTTGTACAGGGTACAAGAAAAACGAATTTGCAACACTTTCACATAAATAACGCATGAAATAAAATAAAAATGCACCTTAAAAGAAATAACACCACAAATACTTAAAATGAGGACCTGACATTACCTTGATTGTTTGGGTTTATAGGTTACTTGTTACCATAGATTAACCTGTTACCATAGATACTATGTAGTTACTTACTAATATGTCGTGAATATAGATAGAACATGTCATAGATAAAAAGAAAAATAATAGATAAATGTACCACAGATGAGCAGAAGAAAGTATAAGAAACAATATTTTAATTATAACATACATTCAGGATACATTCTTACCCTATTCTCCATGGTAGAGAAGACAACAGCAAACGTTTTAGGAAGAAGGATGTATCATTGAACATAGTATTGAAAAGAACTCCAGTATTGTATGTTATAATATATCTGCCAATCTGTGAATAATAAGGAAAAACGGATTAGTTATACTACCTACTAAAAGTGAAAGTAAAACAGCAGAACCAAAAGAAAACTTTCAGAAATGGCGATCTACATTATGCATAGATAAATACATTAGACATATAATAAACGTCGATGATAAATACAGTATTTATTCTATGAAATAAATACTCTATCTACTCTATGGATAAGTGCAATGGCTGCCAATACTAAGTGGATTGATTAGCCTGTCTATGGTGGATTAACGTAAACATAAATAAGGAGTCATACGTACGAGTAACACTGTAGATAATATTGTTCAATCATTGATTCATTAATTTATAACAAATAAACGATATTTACAATTTCTAGTAGATATATACAATATTTCAATATTTATTCTGAAAGTGAGATATCCACAAATGAAATAACCACATTCGTGATTTTTTCTGTAAATCTGGATGTAGTATTTCATAGTCTACTTTTTGCAACCGATCTAAATAGTTATATACAGGCACAGCTGGCAGTAAGGCATCTAAAACGAATTCAATATTAGTAATGGAAAAAATGATGAATTGGTTGTTTTACCTCTACCCTTTGCAGGAACCTTTTGTAGCAAGCTCCTTGCTTTCATTAAATGTTGATAAGCCCTGCTAGCAATTTCATATACACATTCCTTCAAGTTTTTACTTGACTTGCCTCTTAAAATGTCTTCTTGACTGAGATTATGTTTGATTAAAAGATCTTGAGGTATTGGAATTGTATTTAACTGTTTCGCAAAGGGTGCAATTCTGTATATTATAAATGTTTAAAATATTCTATTACCAAATCAAAAAATTATGTATACCTCAGTTGTTGTGTTATCCCTTGAGCTTTCCCTAAATGAGAAGCTGCATGATCTGCATGTATATTTCTTATGTCCATTCCTTCAAATATCAAGTAATAGACTGATGACATTGACTTCTCAGCATATTTTTCCAAATCTTCCAAATTATTGAAATAATTTTGAGGTAAATACTGTTTTCTACAGGAAATTAAATTAAGAAAATGATGCTTTGACAATCTAGAATTCATTAAAGACTGAAATAAAGTAAATCCACTGTAAAAGAATATGTAACTGATAGTGACAGAAACACATTTACTTTGTAAAGTTGTACTGCAACAGGATGCTGTGGTACATTTCTTGGATCTTTGGTAAAACATTTATCAACAGTTTCTTCCCAAAACTGCAAACGCATTACACCAATTTTAGGATCAGAAGTTTGCTCCTTTACTTTTGCAACTTCTACATTTAAACTTCGTACAGCAATGGCACAAGATCTTGCAGTGTTTTTTAATAGCAAGGTACATACAAAGTTTTCATAATCGTACTGTCTACAAATCAATAAAGTTCGTTTAATTCGAAATAAAATAAATCCACTTACTTTATCAAATCTAAACAATACTCCACATTGGATGTGCTTTTAGGTTTCTTCACTACACTAATTGTATCTTTTACTCCAGTAGAATACAAAAGTTTATTTCTTAAATTAAACATTTTGCACGATTGGTCAAATTCAAACCATTTTTCACTACTCTATTTTTATTTTACTATTTGTTTATTGTTTTTCTAACCGCCAACCTGCACCAACATAACCATATGACTACTCAAGTCACAAGTCACAGACATAGTCACAAGTAATAATATGATAATATCCAAATAATGTCAATTAAGAAAGGTAGAATTATCGAATCCACTATCTAAATAATAATGATAAAAAAGTAACACACTTATGAGTATGTATTATTAATTATTA